AAAGAAACAAACAAAAAACTGCATGGGATGGAAACGTAATTCCTCATGCAGCAGTGCTGGGAGTTGTAGCCTAGTGGGAAATGGGTCATGGGTGCAGAGTCCTCATGTATGGGTTAATGCGGTTCTCTGACTAACGGGTTTGCTACCTCAGGAGTCTGGCCCCCTGTGTCTCTTCCTCAGCATCTTCTCACCCTTCTGCCATGGGGCCATCACTGGAAGCCAAGCAGATGCTAGCACCCTGCTCTTGGTCTTTCCAGCCTCTAGAACTGTGAACCAAAATAAGGTTCTTTCCTTTATAAACTCCCCAGTCTCAAGTATTCTGTTATAGCAATGAGTTAAGACAATATCCACTACCTGGAGAAGGATACTGCAGAATTATAAACATTAAATTCAAGATAGTGGGCCAGGGATATAGCTCAGTGGGACATGCGCCTGCCTGGCAAGTGCAAGGTCCTGAGTTTGATTCATGGCACCAAAATAAATAAATAAATAAATAAAATAAATTCAAGATAGTGGTTTCTTCTAAGGGACAGGGAAGGAGACACAATGGCAGAGGGACACATAGGTAGCTCATCATATTAGTTATGTATTTGGAAAGCAAGGGGCTTGATATATGGGTATATATTAATCTCTTTCCCCTTCATGTGTCAGGAAGATTTCATCAACATTAAATATGTGAAATAGTAAATCACAACCATGCTCTGAGAAGTAGCTCAAAGGCTTTGATGAAAAGATAAGTTATGGGCTTAAGTCCTCACCATAAAGATGTTCATCAGCAGGAGCTGCACCCCAGACGATTCTTTGTTTCATTGGCGTAGAAAACAGATGAAAAGTAAAGTGAAACGATAAGGCACATTGAAAAAGCTAATGCAAGGGGCTGTAATAAATGCTAATGGCCAGACAGAAGAAGCCAATGAAAACAGAAAATCTTTCCACACTAGTAACATGTTTTCAACATAATAGCTGTACTCGCACGCTCAGGGCCACCTTCAGGTGTAGCGTTCAAACACAATGAGGAAGACTACTGTATTTTATGATTTCCAAGCCATCTCAGGTGAATTTCTGACACTGTCATAGTACAACACACAGTTGTCACTGTTTCCTGGTGAACTGTCACAAAACAAACTTCTTGGTCAGTAATGTTTACTACCACAATCAAACTGTCCCAGTTTTGCTTCCAACCCCTCCCCTCCCAAATCCACAATGAATGAAGCAAAGCTAAAATAGGGAAACAGCATCCCCTCCCATAATGCTCCTTGCTCTAGCCCTTGCTCTCACAGGCATTGACATGAAGAGCAAATATTAAAGGTTTACCAGGGCAAGACATGGGAAGGAATCCAACCTTTTTCTAGGTTAGAGGGTACTTGGGACAGGCCCTGGGAGATTTTATTAGAGAGGTACTGTCCAGTTGGCCCTAATGACGCCATAAGAAATTGCTTTTCTTTGTTTTTGCTTCAAGCCTATATCACACTTGATATTTTATAGTCCATAAATTTAATGAGATGCAAACAAAATCAGTTTAGCATATTTTATTCAAAGAATCACTTTATTACATTATTTTATGTCCTACTCGTTTATGTTGGCATATTTCCTAAAGCACATTTCCTGCTGTACAGTTTTTAACTGTTGCTTCTAAAAACAGTGTTCTATCTAGGTGTTTCTTTTGTTCTTGTTGCTGGCTTTTTGTTTAAGATACTCAGTTTTATTTATTTATTTATTTATTTTGTTGTTGTTGTTGTTGTTGTTGTTGTTTTTCCGGTACTGGGAATCAAACTCATGACCTTGCGCTTACAAGGCAGGCGCCGTGCCACTGAGCTAAATCCCCAGCCCCAAGATACTCAGTTTTAAATTTCTCTTCTCTCAGCCAATTTTGTTTTCAGCCATTCTAAGCTGTGTCACAAATAACCTCAATTCACTTATTCATTTGATAATCCAACACTTCACATCTGTATAAAACGTTTGTGAGAATACTTCTCACGTGTTCAGCTAGTGTTAGGTTTTAAAATAATCACAATGATTCTTAGTGTCCTTGTGAGTTTACTGAAATTAAAATGTACTATTACTGCTGGAGTCTACAGTTACTGCCTACAGAAGATGCCGTCTTCTGAGAGAATATGTATTTTCTCCAGACGTTACATTTGCAATTCTGACTAAGCTACTTGGTTGCCTGGGTTCTTTTCACCCGAATTGCAAGAAGGTTGTCAAATAGCTCCTTCACATTACCCTTGTGTAGACCCCTCAAATATGGTACTTAGTATCTGGACTCTGGGGACTGGCTCTGCTGTTTGGGGAGCATGTTAATCAACACTTTAGCCTTTTCTTTAAAAAAAAAAAGTTAGATTACTTTCCTCTTTTGGGGAATAAGTGAATTTAAAAGCAAAACCAATAGAGAAAGAATTCCTATAAAATACCCAATAAATAAAATTCTTTACTTACTTTTAATAAAAATAATAGTGCAGTTAGTGCATAGTCCACACAAAAGACCTTGGATAAATTAGTGGTCCTGGTTTTTTGTGTTTTGGGGATTTTTACAGGCGGGTACCCAGGGAGCACTGAGCTATATCCCTAGCCTCTTTTGTTGTTGTTTTCTTTAATTTTAAAAAAATTTTGAGACAAGGTCTTACTAGTTTGCCTAGGCTGGCCTCAAACTTGGGATTCTTCTGCCTCAGTTTCCCCTGGAGCTGGGACTACAGGCATGTGTCAGCAGGTCTGGTTAATCTTACAGTCTTTTGATTGCAACTAAAATGAGAAGGATTTGCTCCACTGTCTTGATAATCCCAGGGACAAGACTCACATCACTTCTGCTGAATCATCAGAGGCCAAGGAAGAGTGGAACCTGCACCCTGAACTGAAAAGTGTAAAGGTAAAAGGACAACAATCACAGCAACTTTTTTCTGTGCAAGATAGCAGATTCTTGCAAAATAGGATTTATTTATTTATTTATTTTTACAAAACCACTTAATCTGAACTCCAGGAATTTGTTTCAATTCAGAGTTCAGGTTCTACTGAATTCATACTGTGTAATTCTGTCAGGGATTCTTTTGACAGAGAAGTAGACACAAGGTCCAATGAATTCAGTATTTAGCTTTCCTGCTACTGTCAAATGGGTTTGGCTTTGACCTGCAAGTCCAAATTAATCAAGCATATTACTTTGATAATAGTGAGGCAATCAGACATTTAATGATTAACTCATGCCTCTAACATGAACACAAAGGTAGTAGTTCTCCCTTTGGGCAGTAAATTAAAATAAGGTTGCAGCTTTAAAAAATATACAAATGCCTAGTGTGTCCTAAGACGCTGACTCAAAAAACCTGGCGGAAGGCCAATGCAAATATACAGTATTTTGAAAAAGCATTCTAAGTGATTCTAATGTGTTAAGAGTAGAAACTGTTGTGCAAATACTGATATAAACAAAAAAATGTTCTGCCTCTTTCTGGAATGTCAATTTTACTTGATAGGTAATCATTTTTAGTTTGGGTGGTAGTTATGTAGGTGTATGTAATTGTCAAAATTCATCCAGCAATGAAAATCTGTGCATTTAGTTGTATTTATTACACAATTTGAAGTCTTTTTCTTGTCAGAACATGCCTTCTTCCCAGTGACTCCTTTCCCAGGCTCAGAGTGTCAGGGGGTGGAACCAGCAGTGGGCTGGGATTTGTACTATCCAGGTAAAAGGCCAAACCTTAACTTTCCTACAGCAAAGGATGAGTAGTGCTTTTGCTCATTTATTTATTTACTGTTTTGGTACTAGGAATCGAACTAAGGTCCTCACACTTGCCAGGCAGGCACTGCACTACTGAGCTATATTCCTGGCCCGAGATCTATGCATTTAATTGTGGTTATTATATCTTAATAAACAAAATGCCATACAAAATTTGTACAAATTCTGGAGTAGAATCGGAAATCTGCATTTACCTCTTTTTTCTTGATACCAAGGACTGAACCTAAGGCCACTCTACCACTGAGCTACATCCCCAGTGCTTTTTATTTTGAGATGAGGTCTCATGACACTGCCCAGGCTGACTTCAAACTTGTGACCCTCTTGCTCCAGCTTCTCTCATAGCTGGGATTACCGGCATGAACCAGCACGTTTAGCTGTCTCACTCGCTTCTACTTGAGGTGCTGAGGAAGGCCTCTCTGAAAGGCCCTGGACTATAGTTTGAAATCTCCGAGTTCAGAAATCCTTTTACATCCTCTGATGCTTGTCTTTCATTTCACCACCCATGAACTGCTCCCCACTCTTACCTCTTTGCCTTCTACCACGGGTCTTACTGGTTAACAACACTGCAAACCTAAAAAACTTAAAATTCCAATCTTTCATGTGAATGGGGTCTTATTTATTTCTTTGATTTTTAGGTGGCCTGAACTTTTAAAGTAGATTGGCTATTAATGTTTACGTTTATTGTTACTGAGGAGTGGCGTTATGAAGGAGGCATACAGTCAGAAATGGCACCTTGCAAACGTTTTCCTCATTCAAGAAATTATGTTAAAACTCGGTCAAGTACAGCGGCTGATTACAGGGGCTGTGTAAGAACAGGAAAAAAGCTGCCATTTTCTGGCTTTGGAAAAACGTGCTGGAGAGATGTGGGTTAGGAGCGAGGGTTGGCTCAGGCATGGCCTGAGGGCCCAAGGATGAGTAGGGGACACGATCGATCGTTGTTTGAAGCTGGGTCTGGGTCCAACTCTACGTACCTTACCTCTTGCTTGGAAGCTGGAGGTCATCTATAAAATGAGAGTAAAGAGTATGCCTTGAAATGCACTTTACTGCACCTTGCTGCAGCTCATCGAGTGCAAGGACACAAGGTTATGAAACCAGAGTTTATAACATCATTACGACAGGGACCACTTGGCTGTACTTTAGACACGCTCCAGCTCACGCAGGAGCCCTACGATTCCCAGCTGGGGGGGCGGGGCGGGGGCGGGGGCGGGCCTGGAATCTGCGCCTGCGCCACACCGCCTTCCTCCCGGGCTCTACACCGCCCCGGTACGCGCATGCGCTACTCGTCCCCTGCCAGCTCTGAGCTTGTCCGTTGAGGGGCGGGGTTAGATAAGGTGCCGGAGGGCCTGGGGGCGGGGTGGCGTCGCCGTCCGCTGCTGTTTCGCCCCCGGACCTGGCGCCTGGCCTGCGGAGGGAGGAGGCGGAGGAGGGATGTTTACGGTCTCCCCTCTAGGAGGCCGCGGGTTTGAGGCCCGCCCCGTCCTCCCTGGTACTTAAGCGGCCGGCTGTGCGCGCCGTCGGGGAGCGGTCCGGCGAGCGGCGGGCTTTGCGGCCGTCCCCTCCGGCGACTCCGCAGCGCGGCCTTCACTTTCGAAGTGCCTTCAACTTTAGGTGAAGATGTCTGAGAGTGACTTCGGGGAGCGCGGCGACGGAAGCGAGGAGCAGGTGTCGGGTGCTAAAGTCGTCGCCCGCGCCCTGAAGGCGCAGGTGCGCGGGGCGGCGGCGTCCTGAC